GAGGATGATGTCTGCCAGCCCATACTCGACCCTCCTCGCGACCCATTTCGATCGTCCACTCGCAAGCTTCTTGCTACTTCTACTGAGACTCTTCCATCTTCTTTGTTCTTCTTTCATCGTGACAGTATCGCCCATTATAGCATACGGGCCAACGTCCTCCCCGAAATCATAAATCTCATCGGAGTCCTCCTCCTCGTCAGAGTCGTGATCAAATTCGTAATTTCCTTCGTTGGGACTTATTTCTAACTGTTTTTTTCCGTCGATGTATTCCCTCTCTTTCTCATCGGCTTGGCTTTCGAGAGGAGGCGTGGCAGGCGGATGAGTCCCGTCGGTGTCGTGTATGTGTAGTAAGTAAAGGTGAAACAAGTGTTCTATGTGGATTTGTACCGGCCCGCGTACTGTTTCGAAGAACGCATAAAAAGTAGACCGGACAAATATGTGAACCCATTTGGTCAAGGAAATTGTAGAGAACGACGCTGGAAGAGAACCCACATCCCAGAAAATATTGATTCTGCAGATGAATGTGAACGTGAGCTATGCTGTTTGAAGGCTACAAGCATGCCGGCGCAACGTACCAATGGCTCCCGCGTCGCAAACGCGTTGATGAGGCTCGTCTAACGAACGTAAAGTCCACAACGTTTATCAGCAAGCTCCACTTATGGACCAATTGTGGGTTTAAGGACTGCAGCTTATAGGAGAAAGGACTCACTTTGCCCACTTGATGATCTCCAATCAAAACGCCTATAAAACCGCGTCAGAATGTGGATTTTGATCATAACCAAGAAATTAAGAGAAGTTCCCGGGCGACAGACATTTGATAGAGGGGACAACGCCACTGTTCATGCCCAGCAAATGCGAGTGGGGTCTAGGAAAGAGACATGATTCCACCCAGCACCGTCCAGTCTGTCCCGTAATTCATGTCCGATAGCTTTCAGAGCTGAGGAAAGTATGTCAAGTCGGGGATCGTCCTATTTCCAGCGTCTTGGAGCCACCTAGAACGAAGAGCAGACCGCCCCCGAGAATTTCAAGAATAATCGAGACAATCTCGAGGAGATTGGGGATGGAAGAAAGGTATCCAACTGTCGTTCAAGGATATTTGGGTAGATGTAATGCCACCTTTACGTCGAATTCGTTGCAGAAAAAAATCCCAAAAATTCTAGAGAGTACCGTAGAGAGGGATACAAAGAGGAGGCGGCTTAGTCGCTGGCCTTGAGGTGAGCTTTCTGTCCTACAACTTGAGAAACCGTCTTGGGTATTTTCTGATCCTTTTAAGTGGATTCGTCGGACGGTGGCTGGGGTACCTGCCGCTCTGGGATCTCGCGCCATGGAGCGATCGTAGAGGATAAGTCCCGTGATAAATCCTACTGAGCGGAGTACCTCGTAATAACTAGTTATCCACTGCTCGTATGACCCTGAAGGAGCCAAAGCAGCGAATGAGCCGCATTGGGAAGTCCCGGTTTTTGGTTGATCGACCTGACGTCAGTCCCATATGGTCCAAGGCGCTGGAGAAAAAAAAAGTCGACAAAAGGTCCCCTGTTTGACAGCTGGTTTGCTTATTATTTTATTTTCTTGAAAGCCTTTAGGCACCGCCTCTGATCTGTTTCGTAGACGCGGGCTAGACTACGGCACGATACGAGGACAGACGGGTTTGGACTGTTGACACCCCTCCTCTCCTAGGATCCTTGCCATCCAAAGATCCCTAGCATCGCCCATGGCCTTCCAGCTCGTCGCCGTATCATCCCAGTTCAAAGAGGACACCAAGAGAGTTTCAAAGGCAACACTCCCTTTCCTCGGCCCATGGTAAATCCCAGGGCTTTTTATCACGGCTAGTGGCTGGCTCCACCCATACTCTTGGGGTCCCCATAGGGGTCCTATTCACGGTGCCCTACTCTACAATGCCAAACCATGGGCGGAGCGTGAGACTCATGGTTCCCCCCTGTCGGACCCCGGTAACAGGTGGCGTTAGTCGACCCCTATCTCCCGCTTTTGTGTTGCTTTCCAA